ATTGTCGTAGTTAGTTTATACCGTGTTGTTTGCTATCTTTCGATAGCTGGTGCTTTTAACGTCATCCCAGGACGTGAAGAAATAAACTTATAATCTTCTTTTCCGCAATTGTGTAATTTTAGATTGTAGATATTCTCCAATTTAAAAAGCAAGATTTATGGGCGTGTAGTGTAGGGGTTATCGCGTTCGCTTTGCATGCGAAAGGTCTCCGGTTCGATTCCGGACTCGTCCAATCTTTTTAACTCTTCTTTTTTTTTTTATTGAATTGGTTTTGTTCTCCTACCTTTTGCGCCCCTCCTTGAGACCTCCAAGAGTTGTAAACTCAAGCTGAACTTCTAAAGAATAAGGCTGAAGCTGACAAAAAATTTTTCAAAAAAAAAAAGTAAGCGGAAATGCCGGCAGCGGTAATAGTAGATGTTGTAAATAAAAGGTGAGGCTGAAACAATAGTCATGTCTTGCTTCTGTATTTAATTGGATAGAACTCCTTCTGTGTCATTGATGTAAATTCTCATAGACTGTAACCCCATCGCTGATGGCGGCAAGAGAATCGACTTGTGCTTCTAGGCTCTAACAAATCAAGTATCTCGATGCTTTTGATTTTGGCAATATATATGGTCGGTATGCTTTTTGCTGTTGTTGTTTTTCAACTTTTAAGCCAGGGATCATGGACTCCTGAATCACTTTTCAACTTAGGGTAAAGTCGCCAAGCCCAATGTAGCATCGCAATTTAATTATTTTTTTTATTTTTTTCCTCCTTCCTCGAGGATGTATTTCCAACGTCGGATCTGAAATATTTTTTTTCAAATTGGCCCCTGGGAATCCCAAGTCTCTCATCTGCAGTCAAAATCGGGAAGACTTAAAAAAAAACTTCATCAACTTCTGAATCCGGTTTCTTTTCTAACTGAACCTCCCATCCCTTGTTACTTAGATACGGCTTTCCCTTTGTGGATGTTATTGCTGTAGCTAATTATTAATGTTCTAGGTTGTAGCTTCAAAGGTGGCAGCTATAGGCGGCGGCAAATTCACGGTTTGAATTTTCTCTGGCAAGTGATTCATCATGATTCACATCTCGAGTAGTCATGGCGCCTATACCGTATATAGCAGCACATTAAACAAAATTAGATATTTGGTTTAGATACAAGAGAGTCCAGAGGTCTAAATAGAAGAAACCCCCACTCAGATCTTTTTTTTTTTTGGCAGAAACTTTTGGCAGTACTATATAATAACAGTCTTATCGAGACAGCGAGATTCGGAGAATAACTGGTCACTGGGCTTTTTTTTTTTTTTTTTTTTTTTGAAAGTGTCACGGTTTTCAGTTGCCGAGTGCGCGTGAATAGATTCTAGCGCGCGGGCTGGTATCTACATATGGGTGTACCCGGCGACTGACTTGCCGAAAACGTTCAAAGTTCACCTTTCAAAGTAGACACATACATTGACCAATCACAATGCTCTTAATGACCCTGGTTTTGCGACACACACTAAGCTATTAATCCGTTTTGTCAACGGCTACCAGTAATAATATACGGAACAGGTAGTTTACTAGTTATGATACAACAGTTGTACAATATTATCAACCGGAGGTCTCCGGATTGTTCCACTTCAGTGTTGTTAGTTAATTTCAAGTTATGTGGGTGCGTGTAGCCTTGCTAACATCCCATCCACTTGTTTGGGTATGTGCTGATAGTAGGGTTATGGTTATAATGTGTGTATGTGTGTAGGGTTGCGGAAACTAAATAGCAGGTATATGAAGACTCTGTGAGCACAAACGTTAGGATGTTGGCTACATGCATGTAATTTTTTTTTATAACTTTCCGGAATCCTAACCGACAAAAGTTTAAATAGACTCATTCCTACGAGATTGCTATTTGTTTTTGACTCTAGTGGTTGAGTGTATGTACCCTAAAGCGTGGGGATTTACATAGAACAATATCTACGCCGCGGCACACGGGCAGCCCGGGGAGCACTGACCCCGAAAGCTAAGCTATTCCACTTGAAAATAAGGTTTTGTGTTTATACTGGGATTGCGCCCACTTAAAAAAAAAGGGCCATAAGTCCCAAATCCACAAGCGCAGTAGCAACAGTTGTCAACAGAACGCATCTAGAGCTAACTGGACAGACACGTTGTCTTTCATGAGTTGATAAACCGAACCCCCTGGGAATCACCATACTGAAACTGTGTTGGTAAAAATATATATTAATGATAGAAGGGTGTTTACCATTTTTACTGGAATGTGTGTGCCTGGCAAGTATACTGCAACTGTATACCTTAGCTTGCAGCCCCAGAGTTTTCTCATTCTATTACAGGAGTGCTAGAATTCAGCCTTCCCCTTTTGAAATGAATGGTTTCTGGTAACTGCATTGGAAAAGCGGTGACGACCAGGGATATTGATTCCATCTATTGCGGCGCGCATGAAGGGTCTACGAGGGTCAGAGGTGCCGTGAATTAACTGGATTGGTGATTTTTTTTTTTGGTTTCTAAGGGGTCGTTTTTGAATCTGCGGCGTTTTTTATTTTATTTTTTATTTTCCCTCCTTATTTAGTATTTGCCAGCAGCCTCACCGTCAGTCATGGTAGACCTCTAGATGATCCGGAAGTCTGACACCAGCAAGTGATATTATAGGTTGGGGGCTAATACCTGCAACAGCGGGAGCTCTGGTCTACAAATTTTCTGATAGTAGGGCTTTGGCACGGCATGACTTTATAAGGCTCAACCCCAGGCGAGCGGCTTAAAATACACCTCATTACGGTATATACCACCCCCATGACTGCAAATATGTAATTGTTGACTATAACTACCGAATGTGTTAACAGCATCCGTATGCTCACTATAGCCGTGGCCCTTTGATAAAAGGGTGTACGAGCGATTTACATAACGTGCGGCTCTTTTTTTCCCACTTGTTTCCGGTAAATTTCCTCTACTTGCCTGGGACTTGAAAGCGGTCAATGGGTAAATTGGCCTATCATCGGCCAGGGCTTGACGATTGTGCTTAATGTCCGGCATCGATCGGCCAGCCGTCTAACGAAATTAATGTACTCTCAATCTTAAATTAGTTATGCCGGGAAAAGAATTTCTTCACTTGTCTGCTGCTGGGAGGATTTGTTTTAGACTCTTTTTTTTTTTTTTGGGGGGGGGGGGGGGGGGGGGGGGTTGATAGCACAAATTCTGGGTCTAAGCGTAGTCCTAGACCTCTGTAGCCATTAGCATATGAACATCTTGATCGACTGTGTATTTTTCAGCGTGCTTCAAGTTTTTGTTTTAATCATTAAATTCTTGAGCCCAATAGCCGTGAGTGTGTTTAGCCGTGAAATAGTCACGACGCAACCAGACACCATACCAGCTTTGGGGGTACACAACATCAACTGCAGCGTGCATAGTCGATCCGATAGGGCTAGAACGCGCGCGTTTTGAACATAGAAAAACTCATCGGAACGAAATGTGTACTCATCTTTTTTTCTTCTTCTCGACTTCGGGAGTGAATATAATGGTCTGGAAATCTATTCAACTATACAACGAAAATGGTGTTGGATTGAGTTTCAGAATGTAAGCGACATCGGTTTTATGAAATCATCGCACCGATGGCCGTGTCCTTGAGATCAAGAAAAAAAGCCCGCTGATCTAGCCGGACGCAGAACGCGTCAAATACATTTAAAGATACGGTAACAGTTGCAACCACCAGACTCCAAGTCTTCGTTACAAAGTAGCTGACTGATGATGGCCAGTTGGATTTTGTTCTTAATACTTGGTTTATAAGGTGCTTTTCCTGAAATATGGTATGTTTGTGATTTGTGTGTAAACTGTTAGCCAATAAGCATTGGTAAAACCCATTTAAAACTCAGAGCAATTAAGCATCATTCAACTAACTCTAAAGTTTGATTCAGCTGACTTTTATTAGGGACCCAAATTGTAAAGATATAGTTTTGGTTATCAGGCTGGAAGCCAGGTTGCTCTCTTCGTTGAACACAGTTGAGGATAGCACATCTAGATAGAAAATCAGTGGATAGCACATTATTGATTAGTAAATAGCAAAGATAGTGACATCTCTGGACTAATATTGCTATATAGGTTTTGTTTGATATCACGAGTATAAGGGTATTAGTAGTTAGTTCCTTTTCTCCAGACTTTGCTAAGTCAGATCCAGTGACAGCCATAAAATCTACCATGACCCTTTTATGGTTATAGTACAGGCGCAAAGCTAACTACGACTCATTTCTCCATAAATTTACCAGAATTGCTTGTAGTAGAGTCATCACACGAGTGTATACGGCTACCTGGAGAGTTACAGTAGTGCAGAGCTTAAAGTTCCCACACTATCAACTTTTTGTAATAAGCACAAAAACCGGATGAGATATCAAAGTTACATTTACATTAAATTATTAATGATAAGAAAATCATTATGGAAGTCGCTTATAATTCAGCTTCAACTAGGCACAGACGATACATGTGACAAGCAATAAAATCTAGATATTTGTAGGAAAATAATGGGAGTCTTTTTGTAATGGTACAGCAGGTTCCCTTGCTTTACTTCATTGTGGTATGGTTACTTTGTTATTTATCTCTTTTTTTGTTTTCTTTTATTCCCAGCGTTGCAGTTGCCGAACGAGCCTTGCTCACCTTAAGTCTCTTTGAGAAACGCCGCATTCTGCCGGCAATGATATGTGCAGCTTTTGTTTTGCACTGGAGTCAAGTTTGTGATTCGATGGGCGATGCCCTTCGTCTGGGGTCTTAGCCGGGGGTAAGAGTAAACAAACAAAAAGTGCGAGTTTTGGGGATGAGTCGACAATAACATTCTGCGTGTAACGATAGACACTGTGTCATCCCTCGAGTGCAACATTTGGTTTGTCATGTTTGCTCCCCAAATGTAAACAAAAAAAAAAGAAATGTGAGGGTATAGAGCATAACTCCGGATCCGGCAATTCTTACTTTGCCTTACAAGGGCCTAGAGTGGAAAGAACTCAAGTTTACCTATTTTGTAAAAATAATATATATATATGTATGTATGAATATATATATATGTATATACATATAAATGTTTTATTTTGGCGTTTGCTCATAATCATTTATAAGCCTTTTGTGCTTAATATATGACTCGGCCCGACTGACTCTCGCAAAACTTAATTTCTTTTATTATTATTATTATATGTTTCTTCCTATTGTTGGAAGCAAACACCAGAAAACCTGAGAGTCGGAACCGTTGAATATAAATATTACGAGGAAGAAAGAAAAAAAGCAAT